AAATTCCAATCTCTCAAATTTCCAATCTCTCAAATTCCCAATCTCTCAAATTTCCAATCTCTCAAATTTCCAATCACTCAAATTTCCAATCTCTCAAATTTCCAATCTCCCAAATTCCCAATCTCCCAAATTCCCAAACTCCCAAATTCCCAAACTCTCAAATTCCCAAAATTTCTAAAATTTCCCAAATTGCCTGTTTGCATAGAATGGTACATGTGGCGATGTTTCGAACCATACGGTTGCTTCTACATCGGTGCGCCATGGTCAGGAGAAAATAGACCCGTGTCCACGTTTCCGGCACGACCGGATTCCATAAATCCTCGATACGTGCTTTACACGCGCGGTCACACGGAACCTCAAGAATTGAAGATCGATAAATACGAAACTATCCAGCAGTCGCCATTCCGGAAGAAGGCTAATCTGTATCTCATCATTCATGGCTTCCTTGACAATGGCGATAAAACTTGGGTGATGGTATGTATATTGACATTATTAATTACGATAATAATATTATCACAGGGGTTTTCAATTTTTCTGATTTTTGTCTTCAGCAGATTTTATATTTTTTAAATTTTTTAATTTGTCTCAGAGTTTTAATAAAATTATTCAATGTGTCTCAGACTTTTAATAAAGTTCTTCAATGTGTCTCAAACTTTCAATAAAATTCTTCAACGTGTCTCAAACTTTCAATAAAATTCTTCAACGTGTCTCAGACTTTTAATAAAATTATCCAATGTGTCTCAGACTTTAAATAAAATTATCCAATGTGTCTCAGACTTTTAATAAAATTATTCAATGTGTCTCAAGCTTTTAATAAAGTTCTACAATGTGTCTCAAACTTTTCCTAAATTCTCCAATGTGTCTCAGACTTTCAATAAAATTCTCCAACGTGTTTCAGACTTTTAATAAAATTATCCAATGTGTCTCAGGCTTTTAATAAAATTATCCAATATGTCTCAGACTGTTCTCAAGTTCTCCAATGTGTCTCAAGCTTTCAATAAAATTCTCCAACGTGTCTCAGACTTTTAATAAAATTATCCAATATGTCTCAGACTTTTAATAAAATTATCCACTGTGTCTCAGACTTTCCCTAAGTTCTCCAACGTGTCTCAGACTTTTCCTAAATTCTCCTATGTGTCTCAAGCTTCCTATGTCAGCTCCAATGTCCAACTCCCGAAATCCTCAAACCCCCAAACTCACAAGCCCTCAAATCTTGACTCTCCCAAACTCCCAAATCTTCAAATCCACAAATCCCCAACACTCCAACATATCCCAAACTTCCTATATCATCTCCGAGTTCTAAACTTCTCAAAACAATTAATTTGTCCAGAGAACAATGAAAGAGCTGCTCTTACGAGAAGACTGCAACGTGGTGGTCGTAAATTGGATCGGTGGAGCAGGTCCACCGTACACGCAGGCTGTCGCCAACACCAGACTCGTTGGCGCCATGACAGCACGTTTAGCTTATCAATTAATAGAAGTCGGAAGAATTGATCCAGCAAAGATGCACTGCATAGGACACAGCCTTGGTGCCCACACCTGTGGATACGTTGGATACACGTTGAGGCAGAGATATGATTACAAGCTTGGGCGTATCACTGGTGAGTCAATTTACTCGGATTCGTGTGTTGATATGACTAGGTTCTTGTTAAGACATCTTTAAACACTCTTCAATCAATATTCAAGTTGCAGTACCTGGTTATTGAACTACTGTTTTTAGAAGTCTCATGATTTTTGTGAAATTAAGGCTGTTCAAATTGTATTGTTGATTTGGTCACATGGTCACATGGTTATTGAACTACTGCTTTTTAGAATTTTCATGATTTTTGTGAAATTAAGCTTGTTCAAATTGTATTGTTGATTTGGTTATATGATCATGTGTTCACGTGTTCATTTGGTCTCATGGTTAATTGTTCATTTGGTCAGGTGATCACATGTTCACTTGGTCACGTGGTCACCTATTCATTTGGTCACGTGATCACATGTTCATTTGGTCACATGGTCACATGTTCATTTGGTCACATGGACACCTGTTCATTTGGCCACACGATCACGTGGTCACATGGTCACGTAGTCACGTGGTCCCTTAATCACGTGGTCACATGATCATCTGTTCATTTAATCACATGGTCACATGGTCACCTGTTCATGTAGTCACATGGTCAAATGGTCACCTGTTCATTTAGTCACATGGTCAAATGGTCACCTGTTCATTTAGTCACATGGTCAAATGGTCACCTGTTCATTTAGTCACATGGTCAAATGGTCACCTGTTCATTTAGTCACATGGTCAAATGGTCACCTGTTCATTTAGTCACATGGTCAAATGGTCACCTGTTCATTTAGTCACATGGTCAAATGGTCACCTGTTCATTTAGTCACATGGTCAAATGGTCACCTGTTCATTTAGTCACATGGTCAAATGGTCACCTGTTCATTTAGTCACATGGTCAAATGGTCACCTGTTCATTTAGTCACATGGTCAAATGGTCACCTGTTCATTTAGTCACATGCTCACATGGTCAGCTGTTCATTTAGTCACATGGTCAAATGGTCACCTGTTCATTTAGTCACATGGTCAAATGGTCATCTATTCATGTAGTCACATGGTCACATGGTCACCTGTTCATTTAGTCACATGGTCAAATGGTCACCTGTTCATTTAGTCACATGGTCAAATGGTCACCTGTTCATTTAATCACATGGTCACCTGTTCATTTAGTCACATGGTCACATGGTCATCTATTCATTTAGTCACATGGTCACATGGTCACCTGTTCATTTAGCCACATGGTCACATAGTCACAGCTTCTGACATGCTTATATGCATCATACGCTTTATATCTTCACTACCTTCCCAAATATCTATAATTCTCCTCAACTCAGATAATGTTGGAGAGTAAACTAGTCTTTCAAGTAGAAAGACATTTTCTCTAGCATTCTTTCATTCCGACGCTATCGATGCTCTAACATAAACGCACCTCAATCGCTCATAACAAAATTTATTATCGACAGTAACAAATAAGTTGCTGTATAAACATATTCAATAATAATTCTGCAGGAGCTAAGACAATTTTCTACATACACTCATAGTCATAAAAATGAAATTGGTTCTAATTCGTTGACTGTGTAATTGCGCGGCTAGGTTTGAATCAAGTATCTGAACATATCAGTTGCATTCAGTTGCATAACTTCGTATATATTTTATAAATTAAGAAGTAGGTAAAGGAGTAAATGTTTGTAATAATATAACACGATAGAATAACGCAAAAATGCAAGTGGAGAAGAAGGGGAACGATAAGTAACGGTCCGTCGGAAGGCCGGCAGTCGGGTGTTCCCGGTCTGAAATTCGTGCGTCTTCGAGAACGCGCGAACATCCGTCCGGCCACTTTCGTCTCTTTCCGCTTATTGACGCGTTTCGTGGAACGATCAATCGAGTCAAATACAATCAGCCCCACCAACGGTCAAGAAACGAGCGGAGACGCACGAAGATAGCCGATCGAATCAGAAACGATCAGGGTAGCAGTTGACGAAGGAGAGGCTCGGCCGAAAAAGGTGTCGTTCGACCATTTTGTTCTGGGAGATAATGCGGAAGAGATTCGATTAACATCAGAACCCTAAGGAAATATATTAAAATTACTGGAACATGTAGTTTTCTGTGCAGATAATTATGAAATACAAATTATGATGAAATACAAATGATGCTATGAAAATAATAATGCAATATAAATGTAAATAAATGCAAGGCTTGAAGCTGTTGATACGAAGAATTATTTTTATGGGATGTCTTTAATAGTACCATTTTAGTGAATCTATGAAACATGTCAAAATGGCGGACCTTAGAGTTCTTATTTTAAATTGCAACGATTCTTAAGACAGTTTTTTAAGAAATTTGTCGAAACACTTTCGTCAAGATGAATTATTGTATCATGTAATTATTTTTATGGTACGTCTTCAACAAATACCATTTTATTTCCAAGATAGTCGATCTACGAAACCCATAAAAATGGCGGATCTTAGATTTTTTTAAAGAAATTTGTTAAAACACTTTTGTCAAGATGAATTATTATATCATGCAATTATTTTGATGGTACGTCTTCAACAAATACCATTTTATTTCCAAGATAGTCGATCTATGAAACCCATAAAAATGGCGGACCTTAGATTTCTTATTTTACTTTGCAATAATTTTTATGAAATTATTTAAGAAATTCGTCAAAAGACTTTTGTCAAGATGAATTATTGTATCTTGCAATTATTTTTATGGTACGTCTTCAACAAATACCATTTTATGTCCAAAAGAAAAATGGATCTACAAAACTCATCAAAATGGCGGACCTTAAACCTCTTATTTTACATTGCAACAATTTGTAAAAAATTATTTAAGAAATTCGTCAAAAGATTTTCATCAAAATAAATTATTGTATCGACTCTAGTTTATGTATTTTTCTATTTTTCAATTTGAAAATCAAGTCCGAAAATGTAGTGTTAATATTCGAATACTTGAAGCATCGGTTACGTAAGGACGAATTTATGGGAGTCGAAGATGAGAACCGTTTCCTATTTCCGATCAATTCTCCCCTGGTAAAGGGTTCGACTGACCCAGCCCACTGTCACGTAAGCTATCGATCCCATCGGGAATTACTAGGATAACAGGAATGGACGAAAGCTCTCCTGGTAACGAATAAGGAAAACGAGGGTGGGTTTGAACCCTCGTAGGTTTCGAATGGCTTCAGAAATAATTTATGATTGTATCATCAATACTGATTTGTTAATAAATTTAAACAACTGGTAGCACAATAGTCACTGACCGTAATGTCACTAGCTGTAAGTAATGTCACTATTTGTAATGTCACTAGTTATACGCAATGTCATTAACTCTAAGTAATGTCACTAGCCTTAATATCACTAGCTGTAATGTCACTAACTATAAGCACTGCAATTATCCATAATATCACTAGCTATAAGTAATGTCACTAGCTATAAGCAATGTCATTAGCTATAAGTAATGTCACTAGCCTTAATATCAGCAGCTGTAATGTCACTAACTATAAGCACTGTCACTATTCATAATATCACTAGCTATAAGTAATGTCACTAGTTATAAGCAATGTCATTAGCTCTAAGTAATGTCACTAGCCTTAATATCACTAGCTGTAATGTCACTAACTATAAGCAATGTCATTAGCTCTAAGTAATGTCACTAATCTTAATATCACCAGCTGTAATGTCACTAACTATAAGCTGTCACTATCCATAATATCACTAGCTATAAGTAATGTCACTAGCCTTAATATCACCAGCTGTAATGTCACTAACTATAAGCACTGTCACTATCCATAATATCACTAGCTATAAGTAATGTCACTATCTGCAATGTCAGTAGCTGTAATGTTACTAGCTATAAGTAATGTCACTAGCTGTAATGTTACTAGCTATAAGTAATGTCACTAGCTGTAATGTTACTAGCTATAAGTAATGTCACTAGCTCTAAGTAATGTCACTAGCCGTAATATCACCACCCATAACGTCACAACCCATAATGTCACCACCCATAATGTCACAACCCACAATGTCACCTATCATAACGTCACCACCCGTAATGTCACCAGCTATAATGTCACTAGTCGTAATGTCACTAGCTCTAAGTAATGACACTAGCTGTAATGTCACTACCCATAACATCACAACACATAACGTCACCACCCATAACATCGCCACCCATAACGTCAGCACTCATAACGTCACCACCCATAATGTCGCCTACCATAACGTCACCACCCGTAATGTCACCAGCTATAATGTCACTAGTCGTGATGTCACTAGCTCTAAGTAATGACACTAGCTGTAATGTCACTAGTCGTAATGTCACTAGCTCTAACTAATGTCACTAGCTGTAATGTCACCACCCATAACGTCAGCACCCATAATGTCACCTACCATAACGTCACCACCCGTAATATCACCAGCTATAACATCACCACCCACAACATCACCACCCACAACATCACCAACCATAATGTCACCAGCTACAAGTAACGTCTAACCTTCAGATACAAGGAAGAGTCATAAACCGTGTAGAGAGTAAAGATTGCAACAACAATTCAGCGAACCTTCTCACGTCTCGCATCGTTTCTCTTGTCTGTTAAAAGGCCTCGATCCTGCCGAGCCTCATTTCAGCAACACTTCCACCATGGTCCGACTCGATCCAACGGACGCAACGTTCGTCACGGCGATTCACACCGATTGCAATCCTTTTATCAGCGGTGGCCTCGGTATCACACAACCTGTCGCGCATATCGATTTCTATCCAAACGGCGGCCGCAATCAGCCCGGTTGCAACGAGGGTGTTCTCAATTCCATCACCTTGGAACGTGGGAGTTTCTTTCGTGGTAGGCTTTCATGTGTTGGGTAATATATCGAACCCTTACGATTATATTGAGTCACGATTGGCGGATCGTGTGAAAACCTGTTTTATCGGGTTACGTGTGGCTGTACTTTCTGATTACTTTGTACCTTGTATGTTGATTAGTCTGTGCAAGTAAGACCCACAGATAATTTGAAATTAGACTTGCGAGTAATATAAGTACAAAGTACAAAGTGCAGGTACCTAGTACAAATTTCTAAGTGGCCATATTATTAAATACACGAGTCGTTAAATTTTAAAAGTCTTAGAATTCTTACGGTCTTTACAATTATCTAGTTATGTATTGTCTGAAGTCTACTTTGTGATTAGTGCTCAGGGAAAGTGGGTCGTAAGTCACGTTACAGATAATTTGAAACTAGAGTTAGTGTTGAAAGAGTAACTTAGTACCTACATTTTTGAATTTCCGAATCCTCAAATCTTCAAATTTATAAGTCATCAAATCATCAAACTTACAAATCCTCAAATACCCCAAATCCTCAAATCTACAAACTCACAAATCTACAAGTTCTAAAATTCTCAAATTTCCAAATCCCCAGACTCACAAATCCTCAAATGCCCAAGTCCCTAAACTTACAAATCCTTAAATTCTCAAACTCACAAATCCTCAAATCTTCAAATCCCCCAAATCCCCAAGTCGTTAAATATCCCAAATCCCTCAAATCCCCTAAATCACAAAAATCTCCCAAATCCCCAAATCCTCCGAATCTCTCAAGTCCCCTAAATCTCACAAATCTCCTAAATCTCCCAAATTCCCTAAATCCTCCAAATCCCTCAAATTTCCAAGTCCTCAAATATCCCAAATCCTCCAAATCCCTCAAATCCCCTCAATCACACAAATCTCCCAAATCCCCAAATCCCCAAATCCTCCAAATCTCTCAAATTCCCTAAATCTCACAAATCTCCTAAATCTCCTAAATTCCCCAAATCCTCCAAATCCCTCAAATCTCCAAGTCCTCAAATATCCCAAATCCTCCAAATCCCTCAAATCCCCCAAATCACACAAATCTCCCAAATCCCCTAAATCTCACAAATTTCCTAAATCTCCCAAATTCCCTAAATCCTCCAAATCCTCCAAATCCCTCAAATCTCCAAGTCCTCAAATATCCCAAATCTTCCAAATCCCTCAAATCCCCCAAATCCTCCAAATCCCTCAAATCCCCCAAATCACCCAAATCCCCAAATCCTCCAAATCCCTCAAATCCCCTAAATATCTCAAATCTCCTAAATCTCCCAAATTCCCTAAATCCTCGAAATCCTCAAATTCCCCAAATTCCCCAAATCCTCAAATCCTCAATAGCATCACAGCCCCTTAATTTTAAAAATCCCCAAAATCCCAAAATCTTGCTCCAGCATGAAATGACAAATATTTGCTGTTTCAGGGATCAAAAGGTTCCTCGGATGCAACCACATACGCAGTTACGAGTACTTCATAGAAAGTATCAACACGAATTGTCCTTTCCTGGCGGTTCCATGCTCCTCGTGGGATAAATTTGAGGAAGGAAGCTGTTTCGATTGCGTGAATCAGTATTGTCCCAGATTTGGATTGGACGCTCAGCCTGGGAACTATCATGCTTCCGTCTACTTGCTTACTGGATCATCCAAACCATTCTGCAGTAAGCATCTTTCTGTATTTATCCAAATCACTAAAACAAAAATAAAAAGGTATAAAAATATAAACTGTCGTTACAATTCAAGATGATATGAAACTTATCAGGAAAACATGAAATTATTTCAGTCAAGTTCAATTAAGTTCAGTTAAGTATCTTAGTATGTAGATCTACAATTATTTTATTGTGGGAATCTACCAACTTCAGCTAAACTTTCTTAAATATTTAAATAATGTTACATTGTAAATTTTAAGTTGAAATTACCAAGTCAATCTTTTATTGCTATTAATTGTTCATTCGAATCACGTTTTCTGCGCATGCTTGGAATCCTTCGATTCTCTCATACTGTCCGAAAGATTGTCATATACTTAAAAAGTTCACTCATCCCGGAAACCATAATTGTAATTTTACTACGCTGCGATATTGTGGACCTAGCAAAGAATACAGAGAACTATTTTTATTTTCCTCAGTTTTATACTTTTCATAAGTTCTGTAAGTTTTCTACACTTTATCTATCTACAGTTTATACATTTACCATAGAAAGCACCGTCTTCAAGGTGTAAAAAACATCTTAAAACCTCAGCTGAATTTTTCATCAGTCCTCTCCATAATTCCATTTCTCTCACCATTGTCTTCAGAGGGCCACTACAAGGTGACAATCAACATATCAAAGACAGACGAGAGCGTGAATCACGGTGGAGAGGTAGGCACCTTCGTGATCCGCATCTTCGGCGAAAAGGATAAGAAGTCCGAAAGAATCCATCTGAGTCCGCACTCGAAGTACTATGAACCCGGGAGCACCCACACTGTGGTACTAGCCGGTGACGTTGTTGGTAAACCAGAAGCTATCGAGATCTCCTGGGAGTATCAGGCTTCCGTTTTCAATCCCCTCACTTGGAGACTGCTGCACACTCCTCGGGTTTACATTGACTCGTTGACTATTTACAGTTTGGAGTCCTCTCATGGGTACGTTAGTCTTGTATGAGAGATTTGAGGCCTGGTATCACAGACAGGTATTACTGTTGAGACTTTCGGATGTAAGCTTCATTGATAGTTATTGTGAGACAGAGACGGAGAGACGGGGAGATAGAGAGACAGAGAGACAGAGACAGAGAGACAGAGAGACAGAGAGATAGAGAGACAGAGACAGAGAGACAGAGACAGAGAGACAGAGAGACAGAGACAGAGAGACAGAGATACAGAGACAGAGAGACAGAGAGACAGAGAGACAGAGAGACAGAGAGACAGAGAGACAGAGAGACAGAGAGACAGAGAGAGAAACACAGAGACAGCGACAGAGAGACAGAGACACAGAGACAGAGACACAGAGACAGAGACAGAGACACAGAGACAGAGACACAGAGACACAGAGACAGAGACACAGACACAGAGACAGAGACACAGAGACAGAGACACAGAGACAGAGACACAGGAGACTAGTTGCAATGCTGTCGAAACATTAGGAACCTTCCTCCTTTAGAACATGGCTGACACCCGAAAGCTTCAACAGCAATAATCTTGTAGTTTTTAATTACAACATATTTTGTTTATTTTATTATAGAATAACTGTCTGTCCTGACGCAACGAAAACACTGATCGCCAACGAGCCAAAGATTTTGACCATGAAGAACTGTCGGAACGCTGAATCTAACCTGGTCTCTGCTTAAGTGACGACTTAACATTCTTCCTTGTTGAAAAGCACCATCCACAACCAACGAAAAGTTACTGTTTTTATGCTCTCAAATATTAATAAAGACCAAATTTTCTACTGTATGTTATTCACTTTACAAGGCTCTTTTTAGAATTCTCCTAAAATTTTTATAAAATGTGGTCTTTGTAGAGCTGGAAGTCTCAGTGCCACTGTGAAATTTTTCTTAGGTATTTCTCTCAAGTCTCCCTTCAATTTTTCTAGTTTATATAGTATCTCCAATAAAGACTACATAGTGTATATAGAACATGTATATAAAGTATATAGAGACTACATATAGACTACATACTGTAGAATATAGAGTATACATATAGACTACAAGAATTATGATTCCTAACACAACTTGCAGCTAAACTTCGAAAGCAGCAGTTAAATTGAAGTAGGACAAATATAAATGTTCAGGAAGGATTCACAAGGGTGTTCAAACGGTGATTTACGTTTGGTAACGAAAGCGGCCACCACGGTGAAAGAAGCGCGCGTGCATAATGACAGTGAAAGGAAATGGTCGCTTCGCGGCGTTATTATGCTCTAACAGAGACAGAAAGCGGAAAGCAACCGTTCCACACGGGAAGGTCGCGTTTTTCCGCCCGAGAAAATTACCGGCCTCTTCTAATTACACGCTGATATCCGAGAAGACGCTATTTCTCGTTCGATCGTTCAACACGAAACCATTTGGAATTCTTAATCGAACTTTCAGTACGAGGCCTTGACATTTATTCGCTTCTTAAGAAATCTAACGCTTCGAGAATTTTCTTAGAATCGAAACTGTTCTTGTTCGCAAAAATACAATTTAAAGATGTATGATGTTAGTGTATTATACTTTTACATAAAAGGGAATATGGGTATTTTAATTAATTGCAAAAATGGATCCAGAGGGCGCCACTAGAGCTTACAGCAAATTAAAATGTAACCTCAAAAGTTTCTTGTATATATTCTTTGTTATTTGACAGATGTTTTTATTATGACCGACAGATTGTACAATTAAATTGTTGATAACAAATGAAGATGCACATTCAACTATCTTAAGTTAAACTTATTTTCAAGTTATTTACTGTCAACATCTAATGCTTCCCTTAGGGTCAACAGAAAAGACCTTATTGACAAATAAACCTTTTCAATATTATTAAAAATAAATTACCTCCTTTCAATATTATTAAAAATAAAGTATTTCCTGACTACAGTAATCAAAAGCATTGAACCATAAACGTTTACCAACAAATTAAATTGAGTGCATAACACATAAATGACGTCACAAGTGACAAAAAGTTGCAGCGTCCCAAACTTCTATTCTCAGCTGTAATTCAAACCGTACTAAAGAGTAGATACAAGTTGAAAATCTTGCGTTTGAAGACGCCATTCAGCTCGTTCGAAAGTGACATTAATTAACGTGACACACGGCCGCTTAACCCCTTACAGTAAAAAGAAAATGTAAGAAGAAAAGAATTTGCAGATGACATAACACCGTACGGATAATATTTCGGGGTTATTGCGTGAACGGTGCGGGAGAAAGTTCGACTTTGTCCATATCTGGTTCAACTACGAAATTTTCTCGAATTATTCCTAAAAAATTGCGGATAATTTTGCGGAGATTGACCAACACGATTTTTCAGCAGTGTCTAAAAACAGGTATACGTTAATAAAGCTAGAAAAAGTTAAAAATTGAACACCGTTCTAAGGAGTTTTGCAACGAAGAGTGAATAAATTGGTCGTAAAACGGGAGCAAAAATCTCTTGGAGCAATTTCGATGGAATTTTGCTGCAACTCTTTCGGTTTTACGAGTGAAAAACTTTCGACGATTGTTCGCTTCCAAGAAAACTGTTGTTAGAGTGAAGCATGAGCTCCGTATCTACGCATTGTGCAAATTGAAAGAACACGTATTTATATCCTTTCTCTGACCATGTCTGGAATCACAAAGAGCGATGACGAATGTTTTGGTGCATTTTCAAGATGAAAGACTTTCCAATGGGTGTGTAGCACAGAAATGACAAATCGGGTGTGAAACAATTGTATTAAGGATGGAATATTGTATTTAAAACGACAACTCAGAAAAAGTTTGCTGTTGACAGGAGCTGTTTCCAAAAAATTTTTTACCAAATCATTTTTGTGAAAATCTGTTTGCACCAATGGATTTGTCGCTCGAAAACAAGCAATTTATGCTGGTCTACTTTTTCTGTACGACTAATAGTTTCTGAGATATTGTAGAGAACGTTGCTAAATATGGGAAAATAGCTTCAAGGGCAGCGGTGATCTTCCGTGTGCCTCAAAAGGAAAGAATACAAGTCTAATATTTTTTAGAATCACTGAAGAATGCTATGAATAATGCAATTATAATTTATGAATTTACCATCCTAAATTATACCCGCGGTATAAACTGTAACCCATTTATCTCCACGATAAACGGCAGTATACAGTTCTATTAGTAATCTTAATAGTCTATCTGCACGAGCTGGCAATAAAAGTAGAAGTATAAATATCAAGAACCGGTTATGTCCGGACTACCACCGAGGACTTGGAACATCGAGAACTCTCTGCCAGGTTTTTAACCGAACTTCGCCAAAATCCAAAACAAGGGACATTTGCATAAAGGAAAAAAACAGGAAAATTTTGCAAGAAAGTCAAAGGTAAACTCTCCGAGGCTTACGAAATTCCGACAAGGATATCGGAAAGGAAAATCGAGCAGGACCCCCACCCCCGCCAGGAAAGGAAAACAACACACCTGGTCAGGTGGTGGGCGAAAGATTTCGAGCGAAACGGAATGCGCTTCGTTCGAACGGTTCAGTCGAGTGTCGGCCTCTCACCGAGTCGCATCTGCTCCTCGATCCGCGTCCTCGATTAGTGTCCACAGGAAAACGGAAGCCGTGCCTAGTGAAGAACAGCTCCGGTGCCTGTGATGTGCGACTACCGTCGTTGACAGGATCAAGAGTGTCGCGTGCCTTGAGAATCATGAGAGATCGATCGAGGGAGACATGAGGCAGTGACATGAACGACAGACTTCGAAAATGTGAGTACTGGAAACCACGTGTGCTTGGACGATGGAGTCGCACTGCCACTGTCACGGACGAACCGTTGCGGGAGATCGAGACTGCGTCCTTGCAGTGCGAATTCAGATTTTCAGGTGGCGTCGTTGGGAATTCAAATTTTTGGGTAGTGTCGCGGGTGTGACACTGTAATTTTCGAAGATTAAAATGTTGTGAGGCCCAAATTACCGAGTCTCAAATGACACAAGACCCAAAATCAATGAATTTCAAATTTAACAAGTGTCAATTTGTACAAGATATACATTCCAGAAGACCCAAATTATACCAGTCCCAAACTTCATACGAATTGAACTCCATAAGTCCCAAATTCGATAAGTCTACGAGTCCCTAACTTCATAAGAACCGAGCTCTATAAGTCCCAAATTCCACAAGACACAAAATCAATAAGTTTTAAGTTCAACAAGTCCCAACTTCTACAAGGTATACACTCCACAAGTCCTAAAGTCTACAGGTCCCAAACTTCATCAAAACCGAACACTATAAGTCCCACATTCGATAAGTCTATAAATTCCAAACTTCATAAGAACCGAACTCCATAAGTCCCAAATTCCACAAGACACAAAATCAATAAGTTTCAAGTTCAACAAGTCCCAACTTCTACAAGGTACACATTTCATACGTCCCAAAGTCTACAAGTCCCAAACTTCATAAAAACCGAACTCCATAAGTCCCACATTCGATAAGTCTACAAGTCCCAAACTTCATCAGAACCGAACTCCATAAGTCCCAAATTCTACAAGTCCCAAATTCTATAAGTCCCAAAGTCAATAAGTCCCAAACACCATAAGTCCCAAATTGCATAAGTCTCAAATTCGACAAGTCCCATATTTCATAAGTCCCAAACTCTATAAGTCCCAAATTCCACAAATCCCAACTTCTACCTTCCCCCAAATTCCACAAATCCCAAACACCTCAAGTCCCAAATTCCACAAGTCCCAAATTCTATAAGTCCCAAATTC